AACCATACGCATCACTCCGACGCGTTTCGCTGCGGGCGTATACCACAGACTCTTTAGGGAGTTCATTCCTGAGACCCAAGCATAGTCGTACATTTGGAGAGAGAGGGTTGAGGCCATCCCTCCCTCGACCTTAAATACCTTCCACCGCTACCTAGAAACCAGATCTCTTCTCTATTCATCCCCCATACTCTATTCAACACACTCGATCCTCCATACCACTTAAACAGCCCTATACATCCCAATACTACCGAAGAAAGAACTTAGCATACAGAAGAGCGCGTACTACGAATGCAAATGCATGTAGGTCTACCGACGGGAATCGGGATGTGTTTTGGCTTTATAGGATACCGGATCCGGGAGCGCACAGATATCGATATTACCAAGCTCCATAGTGGCTTCGTCCACTCACACCATTGCTCATCTGTTCTTTGCCATAAAGCCGTCCCGATTCATTTTCGAAGAAAATCCTCATTTAGTTTCGTTCTGGCGTTGAGTTCAGGCATCTCTCGTCATGCATCTGCAAGCGATGAGTTTCCCGCGTGCATGTATTCCCAAAAAAAACCCACCATTGGTCATAGATCCCAAAATTGGTAAAATTGCCTCTTTGCCTTTCCCTCTCATCTGAACTGCCAAAGCGGCCGCCATATCCGGTGACCCCAGATAGCAAAACGATGGTGGAAGCTTAGTTCAAATGACAAATACTCGTACGTGCAATTGTCTGAGGTCCCCGTTATTTCACTGTTGTAATGGCGATTACTTACCTTGTTCCTTGTCAACTTTCGGTACGAGCAGCCGGCGGACCACTACGACTCACCACACCGCTATTTCCACTCTGATTGCAGAAGTCCTTGCTGTGAAACTGCCTAAAGATAGCTTCCTGCCTGCTACCTTCGCCATGCGCTCGGAGGATATACAGTGTTCGACTTTTCTTAAATATGTGCGATACATCGTATATCTCCGAGACCCTTGGTACACGCTATGTGGATATATATCCGCGCATCTCCAATCCAAAATAATCCGAATAAAAATCCGGGCAGGTCAAAATTTGCCCGGTCCTTAAATAAACGAAAATAATCGAAAATAAAATGAGATCCGTTCCACCCCACGAATGGGACCCTCGACATGGAGTGTACCTATACACCAAAAACCGAGGTCCGTCAAAAATCCGAGGATCGAAAATCAGCTTTCACCTGCTCGAACGGCATGTTCCTACGTAGCGGCCGTTCCTTTCAATTACCCATGTATTCATCCAGGCCAGGGTACAAATCAAGGAGCAAAGCTCCCCAATTACCCCCAGCCACCCTAGCGAAGCGTGCTAGAGACCCGAGAGAGACCTCCGAGGGATAACCCCAGAGGTTCGACTCTATAACCAGTGCTGCAATAGCTGCAATTGCATCTTCCTCCGAAGTAGCCATGCGACTGATTCGTAACATTCTTGCCGTCAAGACTGATTTTTTCATCTTTTAAATGAAAACGACCCGTAATCTTGCATGGAATGAATACGAAGTTGGTTCTTCTGTCATAAGATCTTTTGATTCCTTGTCCTCGGAAAAATGTGGACTTTGATGGGGCAGATGCCCACTTGCACCTTAGCATCAAGGAAGTCAAAAGTATTAGTGCCCCTATCCTTCCTAACCAACTTCAGCGAAGAGTCATAGCAAGAGTCAAACTTATCCAAAATATCTGTAGCCTTTTCCCACGTTGAGAGATCGGACGAATGTACTCCAACCATGATAGCTACATCATCAATCTTTCTGATGCCGCGAACCAGGTACTTGTCCTTGCCTAGGGACGATAGGAACATGGCTTTCGACCTAGCACACCATGCAAGCTAGAGTCGGGCTCGAGTTCCTCCCCATTGGAATACCAAAGCTCTGTCTTAGAACGAGCGATCCACATTTGACATAGGCATGTGACAGGTCATACATTAGCATCTCTTTCAGGGAACGAAAACTTATGGTTACGTAACCATCCATTTTTCGAAGCGACATGGACAACATGCACTCCTTACCCCTCCAACTCACTCTCATCGCTTTCAAACCTTTGCTACTGTGTACATCAAGCAACCATTCTACAGACTTCACCACGCTTTCATGCGACAATTTTGCAAACATATCTTTTACATCATAACTTCTTACTACTACCGCATCGTTCTTCTTCCTCAGCGAATTCTGATGTTTCATCAGAACCGGCTTCAGCTTGTCAGTGGCCGAAAGATCAAAGTGGAAACTCTTCTTTAGGCTGATAAGCATATACCTCACCACACGATCGAGCCTGACACTGGCTAACCTTGTTGGGTCTGCAGTGGCTGGGGAGATAGGTCTCCACCTGTCTAGGTCCTTATCTTTAGGGATGACGTAGGCCACCCCTACCCTCCCATCCTTTCCCCATTCACCAATAGCCTTTAGTCCTTTGGCATTATAGTTAGCCCTGTCTAACCTCAAAATTTCCGGCTTGGAACCTTCTTCTACATCAAAACTACCATTCCATCTGAATGTCAAATGCTGCGCATGCATGTACAACACTGGACATAGCAAAACCGTTGCCCTAGGATTGCGATCTATCGGGACAGCTACAAGATCCCTGTAAGGATAGAACCACGCCCGTACCTGTTCCTCACTCATGCCCTTCCATCGAGATGGCTTCTCTACACAGCATCTACGCTGTAACTCCGGGCTCAAGAATACCTTCTGTCCATATTCCCAAGGCTTCAGGGATTCGAGGATACAATTCTCGATCCGATCATATTTGTCACGTCCGATGGTCACATTCCTCGAGTTCTGGACGAAATCCGGGATCCCAGGTATATCATCCGCCCCTACCTTGACATGCCCGTCATATCTCGGGAGATCCATATCAACGTACGTGCATATCGCAGCGTCATGACGAACCCACTGTTTATGGTTGTGGATAAGATCTGCAACCGTCTTTTTATTCATAAGCACCACCCTCATGCGACCGGAGACGTAATTTCAGATAGCCTCATCATGGATAAGCCGACCAATAGCATCCACAGCTACATCTCTAACACCCTTAGTCTTCAGCGACGGTGAGTATGGAACCTTCACGTGTGGTCTCTTACGAATGTCCACCTGGTACTTGTTCTTGATCACCTTCGATATCCGGATCTTCAGCGTACCCCTCGTTTTCTTCGTGGCGACGAGAGACGCAGTCGTGTATAACGCGACCAACTTGGATGAGGTCATTCGGTAGGCCTGCTTCACACGGTATGGTCGCACTAGGATCTCCCTCAAATAACTCTTTCTGTGTTCTATAGCAGAAGAGATGATCTTCACCTTTCGAATCAGGAATGAAGAACGACCTTCCAGATTCGACCGGCAATCTTTTAAACGATACATTTTACCATTCATCCTTATTTCCGTGTCACTAGCCCTTGACTGAATCTCCCGCCAGCCATCGCACCATAGTTCGCCTCCTGTTGTCAATACCGCGTCACCTCCCGTGTCATTTCTGAGAGCCTCCAGCAGATTCCGTCTCTTTTCCTCCCAATAGTGTTCAGCGCCGGAGAAAATCTCGCTATCAATGCTGATTCCGCCTTCCCTAGATCCTCTATCCCAACCACTACTGGGATAATAATGTACCTCTCCCATCCAAATCTCCGTAACCAGACGTGTAATTTTCGGGCATTTCCGTAATTACCTGACACGGCGCACCTCACATGTTCGGCCGATCTAGTTATAATTCTCCTCACGGTACACCCGATGTAAATGTGTTTACACCAGGGGCTAGCTATGACGTGGACGCTGGAGTCTCTGGTATCTACATTCTTAATCGCATCATCATTAAGGATTGCTAGCCATTTTTTCATCCACGGAAACTTACCCTGGATGGCAAGCAACATAAACACCCTTGTCACTTGATTTTCTACATCAGAATGCACAAGCCTACCTTCTTCGCCCATCCTTCCTAACCTTGCTGTCATACACGCCTCAAGGGTCTCCGTATCTATTCAGATATACCTAATCCACGTCACCTTTCTCCTATCGAGGCCGGACTCTTTTCAAAAAATCCCTCGTATGCGAGCTTTGTCTTGCACCTTACTAGTTCACAAATCATCTCTTCCTTCCTTGCACACGGTATCCCTTCCTTGCTACATATTTTTCGAAGTTCGGCCACCTTCTTTGCTGACATTCTTCGATGGATTTCCAGAGCATACTCGACGACGCCATCGTTAGAGCATGCGGCTGCCAAGTTTTTCTTAGGAGTTCTGAGATTCTCTTCACTCTCTTCTCTTACCTCGGCGATCGATCTTGCTGGTTTTTTGGACACGTGCTCTTCGTCGTGTTTAACCACCTTTCTCTTCCCTGTCCTCTTCCGTTTTTCAATAGCGTAAATCAGTTTATCGGCCTCCTCCTTCACCTCCTCGCTGTCCTCCTCAGACTCATCTAAGTAGCTCCTTATCTCACGAAGCATCCTGGCTTTGGATTTTGGAGATTTCTTCTTTACCGGGGCCGCTGTCAGTGCCAGCTGGCTTCAGTTGTGCTGCGCCAGTAGCCTGAAGATGGTCGATTCCAGACGTGCCTCCCTAGCTTCAACTTCCCTGATCTTCTCAGATTCCCTCCTCCTTTCTTCCTCCATCCTTCTATTGTCCATTTCTTCTCTCATCTTTCTCTCGTTCTCCTCCTCCTCCCTTTGCACGGCTCTCTTGTAAAACTCTCTCATCTTCGACGATTCAGTGTCTACCGTTGGTGGTGTTCTATTCGGTGCTTGCCAGCAGTTTCGAGAATAATGGCCCATTTTTCCACATATATAGCACGTGACCTTGCCTTGAGAAGCCCCTCCGGTAGCCACGCTAAACGGTTGCTGAGAAGCTCCAAACTGCCCTTGACTCATCGGCTGTTGGGACATCCTGAAGTGTCCTTGGCTAATTGGAATTCCGGTCTGTTGATTAGGAATCATTTCGGATCCTCCTCTGCTGAACTCTCAACCTCCTTACTCTACTGTCTCGCAGGATATACCCGACACTATATACTCTGCCG